TGAATTGAATTGAATTGAATTGAATTGAATTGAATTGAATTGAATTGAATTGAATTGAACAGACTCCACTGTAGTTCAGTCCATACACCTCACTGATGTACAACAGAACTGTAGAGTAACATTAGGCTTAATGAACAAAGAGAGTTATTATGTTCTTTTGTGGTATTATTTTCTTTCTCTCTGCATCACACTTGGTAGTCTGTCTGTGAAGGTTCTCAGTCATCCAGGTCATCGAAGTCTAAGGAGCTTGGAAAGAAAAGCCTCTGGACTTGAAGTTTCCTTGAAGATGTTCATCTCATCTTTTCTCATCTGAAAAGCTTCTTCAGTTCTAAGGTCAAATGGTGGCGAGTCCCAGATTTTAAGCTCTATGGGAGTGTCCCCGCAAGAGGGACATGGACCCCCTATTCATCCTCTATCACATGAGCCAAGATGTGAAAACGGTTGTAGGTCCCAATCAGCCAAGGTTTCGGGTGAACCCATTGTGAAACCTAGCCCCACCGTATTATGTTATTTATTGAAGTCAGATGGCCCAGGATGTGAGTGGGCTTTAAAGCGTCTGGGAATGATCTCAAAACTGGATTATAGATGGCAGACAGTTGGTATCGTAAGCCACTGCCTCTGTTCAAAGATGGTCATTCACAGTGGACATAAATGGCTTCTTTCACTCCTCTTTAAGACCATCTGTCTTCTCTGTCCAAAATGTGAACGTTGGCATAATCAAAAGAGTGACCTTTGTCCTTTAGATGCAGATGGACAGCCGAGTCTTGGCCCCTTGGCCCCTGGATTTGGCTCTTCTATGTTGTGCCATGTGCTTATGAAGTGGCTGTTTGGTCTCTCCAATGTAGAGGTCTGAGCATTGCTCGCTACACTGTACAGCATACACTGCGTTGTTAACTTTGTGTGCGTTATAGTAGTTTAGATTTCCTGCATTTGGTTGGTGATAATTTCAAACCCTATATAGCACACATAGTACAGCTTTTCTACAGTATTCTTGGAAAGGCACATGGAGTTATGTCTCAGCCACTTAAATGAAACAATACACTTATGACATTTGTGTGAAAAGTACCGTCCCCCTTAAAGGGAAAGTCTGCTTTAAAGACTGATTGCTGAATGTGAGTGATCAGTTTTATGTATTATACTCATCCTGTATTCTTATTAATATTCCTCTCACTTAGAAACTGGTCAAACCGATGGCAGCCTTGGAGCGTTGCAGGCACGAATAGAGGAACTTGTCGCCATCATCAGAGTGCAAACAAAATCTGTACAAACAAAGACAAAGTGGTATGTCCCTGTTTCTTTGAAATGGGCCGTTTGATACTTTTGCAGTTTGTAAACAGAATAAAATCTTATCCAGGCTTGTTTTAGCTGGATGTGATGCATGTTCTAGCAAACAAATTGAAGAGTGTGGATTCTAATCTAAATATATACATTATGTGAAGGTGTGCCTTTTTTATGATTATTTACAGAGAGCAACAAGAGGCGACAAAGAATTCACAAGGTCATCTTAGATGAGAAGAACCAAGCTTGCTGAACCAACAAAGCAAATTGTGTCCAGTGATGCCCTCATCCAGACCGACATTTGGCCCTGGCAGAGCACAAGTGAATGTAAGATCTTCATTTATAAATATTTCAAATGTATCCTGTTTAAACAAATTCCCAGTATCTGAGCAACAGTTGGATGTTCTGTTCTTGAATGATAATATGCTATTATGTTTTCCCTTCTGATGTTGATAAACTGTAGCTGCTGCAGACCTCCAGACAAAGAGAAAGGTCTTCGAGAAGGTGATGGCTGTGAGGTGCCTGAGAGAGGAGGAGATGATCGTTTGCAGGGAGATGCAGCATCACTGGACAGTGTTGTGAGTGCGATCTGTGGTGTTGGGGACAATCTCCTCAGACTGTAAGCACATCTATTATTTATTTATGTATTTATTTTATTTTTTTTGGATGAATTGATTGAAAATAACAGCAGATGCTAAAGGATCCTAAATCCTTGTGTTTATAAGGTGAGTTATTTTGTTACTTTACTCATATTTGTTGGTTTTGTTCTTTTTACAGCCTCCCTTTTTGCCATGTCGGAGGATGCACAGAAGGGACTGTGATTACAATGTAATGATTACAGGACATCAGACTACTTGTTCTTATTGTTTAATTACCAAAAATTGTCATATAGAAATAAAAAACCTGAAGTTGTTAATTGATGCTATTTGAACACTATATCTTGTCATTTAACATGTCTGGAAATTTCAACAGCTTTTCATGTGTTTTGAAACTGGGTTTTTGGAGACCTCAAATGTAACATGTTCTGTAAATGTTTAAATGTTCTGTCTCTAAAGCACCCAAAAATGTTTGGACATTTTTCATAGTGCATGTTTGAGAATTATTTTTTCCAGAGAAATAATTAACACAGTTCAGCGGGCTACATACTGAACTTAAAAAGCAAAGTATTGATCCAATCGTGCTAGTATCGATCCGATACCAATGCTAGAGTTGTTATCCATACTATCCATATTTGGATCGATCCGCCCACCTCTAGTTGTTTCATTCAAATAC